AACCATGGTCCAGTTTATGGACCCTCCGTAGCAGAGCCTGTTTAGACAGTTGGCAACAAACGAGTGGCAGTTGCACGTGAAGAGGTTGTAAGACCTGTGCTCAAAGTGGCGCCCAGTCGACTGCAGGGCTTCGTCCCAGGTGATTGCTGCACCGTACTCGGAGTGCGCAAAACGGTGCTTGCATTTGTGGGCCCCGATATTCGGAGGGAAACAACACTTCAGAAAAAAAACAAAAATTAAGTTATTTTTGAACTCTCTGTGTGTAAAAGAGCCTGAAATCGAGCTCAAGTTCGGCTCGTTTATCACTAATAACGAATCGAGTTCAAGCCTTAATAAGTCGAACTGAAAAATTATATAAAAATGCTCCCTTAGAGCATTATCGAGCCGAGCCGTGAGCTCGACACGTTAACCAAATGGGCTTTAAATGAGCTCGAGCTAAACGAGTTGAACCGAACTCCAGCCTCAACGAGCCAAGCCGAGCCAGACTCATTTAATTTAACAGCAGTACAATATAGAAATTATATAAAAATTCACTTTTTGAGTTTTATCGAGCCGGGCTCGACTCGTTAACCAAACGAGCTTTAAATGAGCTCGAGCTAAACAAGCCGAGTCGAACTCGAGCCTTAACGAGCCTAACTCGAGCCAGACCCGTTTAATTTAACAAGACTAGACTACACATAGCTAGAACATCATCAAGAACTCCTTTTATTTATTACCTGCTCTCGTTCCAATTGAAGGTACCGAGCAACAGGTCCAAAAGCAAAATCGTCTACATTCACGAAATTCGAGCCCGAGAAATCTAAGATCGTGCCATTTTCCATGCATATCCCGACGTGTCCTATGAAAGGGGCCAGCCATGAAACAACAGGCAAAGGTGTCCAAACCAGACAGCACGGGAATTTGGCATTTGTAGGATCAACGGGAGCTAGTGGCCAGAAATCGTCCATGAAATTGTCGGCATATCTTTTATTTTCGATTTCATTATCATAGTTCATTTCCATTGTAGAAAGTTTTCTGGAAGGCATATGCTAAGCACAATCTTGCTGTCGAGTGAACATTCTCTAGTTTGGTTGCTGTACTATGTTGTAAGATAAAGGAGTCATTTTTCTGTTGCCACCAGAAATTAAAGGCTGTATCTGAAAGATAAAACAGATGGCACGTAGCTGCAGTCACTAAGAAGAAAATTGATACATAAATAAAATAAAATAAAATACACAAACACAAAAACGTAAAAAGGAAAGGAAAAATGCACATAGAGGTTTTTTTCTTCTTTTGAAAGATCCAGCTGAGTCCTAAACTGTAACCATTACTCTAAAACCAATCAGTCACTGAATTATGACAATTCTGAACACACGAACTTACATTAACAATGACAATCGTTCAAAAATTACATCTTAAACATTTACTGTAATCCAATACCAAATGCTATACATCTTACATTTTTGTGTGTTCTAAAAATAGCCCTCATTCTCATTTCAACATTGAACATATACATAGTTACGTCCCACACGCACAGACACACACTCACACAAGGAAAAAAAAATGAAACAGAAAACAAAAAGGGTCCAATATCAATTGATTTCCCAAATAAGGCATTAGCCATTAGGATCCAACTGAAAGATTCAATCTCGGAAAATCTAACTCAAAATCTACACAACATAAATTGACAAATTAACTTGGCTACACTAAACTCAACATACACATTCATTACTGTTAAGTCGACGGATTCAAAGTAAAAAGAATAACTTCACACTGAAACTACACCGATAAATCAAACCGATAAAATTACATGAAAAATGAGCTAGCTAATCCAAGAAACAGCAAAATATATTCAAAAGTATATGTAATTTAGCAATCAAACAGCTGAAAGATTCCTAATTCTAAACACAAAATCTACACAAATAAGCTGTAAATCAACAAATTAAATCGGCTACTCTAAACTCAATATACGCATTTTAACTGGACCAGTGGATTAAAAGGAAAATAATTAACTTCTTACTGAAACTTCACTGATTAATCCAACCATTAAAATTACATATAAAATGAGCTAGATAATCCAAAAACCAACCCCACAATAAATTCAAATTAAAAAAAAAAAAACCAAAAATAGATGTAATCTATCAACTAAACTGCTGAAAGATTCAATCTTGGCAATTCTAAACTCAAAATCTACACATACAGGACTGTAAATCAACAAATTAATTTGGCCAATTCTAAACTCAACATACGGATTCAAAAAAGAGGAACTTCAAACTGAAACTTACGGATTAATCGAACCGACAAAATTAAATACAAAATAAGGTAGCTAATCCAAGAAACAAAAGCGAGAAAAATATTCTAAAATTAGACAACCAAATAAGATGCGACGGTAGTTTGCTCACCTGTAAAACCTTTGCGGGATCATAAAAGCTCATACTTTGAGCAAGACAGTTTACAAATGAACTAAAG